CAAAAAAAAAAAGTGCCCTTAAAAAACCCTTCCCTTTTTTTTTTTTTTTTTTTTTTTTTTTTTTTTTTTTTTCAATTGAAACCGAAAACAAAATAATACTAATATGGCTACTCTCCTACAAAAATGCTAAAACTTTATTTATGCAACTATTCTGCTGGTCAGCCGTTGAACAATTTGGTCTTGTTTTTTAAGCACCGGCTCGCAGACCATTTTGGTAGCGTGCACACTCATAAATTATTTTAACTTTCTAGGTAGCTATTAAAAACCCTGTATTATATGCTTATTTACCCTGTATAAAATAAAAACCCTGTTTCTCCAAAAGAACCAACATTAACAATTTTTGGCACCGTGCTTATAGTGCCGATCGGGTATTAAAGTGGGGAATAATTCGTGTTTGTATCAAAGGAGAGACAGACCGTTAAGGTCACCATAATACATTCATCGATTACTCATATATGAGGCTGACCTTGATACAACATCCTTCAGAATACAAACAATAATAATAAAATAAACATCACAACGCTTTAAAGCAGTTCAAATATTTCAGGACTGAACAGCTTGGATCACTTCGGCTCATGTCAGACGGTTATCGCTGCCTTCACGCTGCAGTCGCTGCTGTTATTGTTGCTGTCCGTCGCTTTCTTGCTTTTGCTCCTTCCTTTGGTGTTGGGAAGCTTGTTATCTTTCTTCCAGCGCATGCGCCGGTTCTGAAACCACACCTTCACCTGCCGCTCGGATAGACAGAGAGCATGGGCCACCTCAACCCGGCGGCGGCGCGTGAGATACCGACTGAAGTGGAACTCCTTCTCGAGCTCAAGGACTTGTTGGCGCGTGTACGCTGTGCGCAGCCGCTTCGGTTCCGGCCCAACGTGATTGGGATTGACTGTAAAAATAAATAAATAATAATATATTATAAACAATGGATGAATTACATTGAACCGATATTTAAAATATTAAATATTCAAATATTTGTAATACTTATTTTTAAATATTGCATTTATATTTATTAATTCAAGTTTAATATTTAACACACACAAACACGCGCGCGCGCGAGCACACACACACAGACAATAATTTCGATTATTCGATTGGGATTGTCTGTGAAAAATCAACAGTAGTAGAATGATACTAACAATAATGATAACTATGAAAAATACTGTTTATTACATTTTGTATAAACATTTTTTTCAGAAGGAAAATAAGTGAAATGTAAATAAAATACTAGTAGTGTACTAATAATAATAAAGCAGAAAAAGAAAAGAAAAATATAATATGAAATCAAGTCAAATATAAATAAAACAACAAAGTCTCCTTCACTAAAGGACTCCTAATCAAACTGAATCAATTTTTATCTAAAACTAACAACAGTTATTAGGCCATAAAAGAAACCAGTTATCATTTTACTTTGTATAGCGATCATTTGTGGTCGACCGGGAAGAGATCCAAAAAGGGAATGTTTCTGTTTCTTTCTTTTCTTTAATGTTCTTTTTTTACTTTTAACTTGCAGCTTTTTGTTTGTTCGCATCGTTGCGACACACACACACACACACACACACACACACACACACGTCGCCTATATGCGCTGCAGAAGGGCCATAAAACTTTATAGGGGTTGTAATTCTCGCCTGCTTTCACTAAGGTCGTAAATTATTTGACAGAGAAAAAGAAAGAAGATGCTAACAAATAGAAAGAAAGAAAGAAAGAAAGAAAGAAAGAAAGAAAGAACGAACAAACAAACAAAGCTTTTTGATTTGGTCATGGTTCTCACCATGCGCAACGTGCACTTTCTTCATCCAGGGGTAGACGACAATGGGCGGCTTGTCCTTCCCCAGGCCAGCCGCTTTCCTCTGCACCTGAGCCGGCTTGGCGCAGGTCATCCAGGCCTGGTGGCACTGCAGGTCTCCCGCGGGGAACCTCTCCTTCTCGGACGTGTCTGGCTCTCTGTACAGCGGGTAGGTCGCAGTGTGCTGCTGCTGATGCTGTGGCCGCTCCTCTGCATCGTCCCGGTGATGGCCCTGTACAGATTGTTGGTAGCCGGTTTGTTGTGATGCGTACACAGGCGGATGAGGCTGCATAGGCTGATAACCCCCTGCATAACTGCCATTGTCCTGAGGGCTGTTGTAATACCCCCCTTGGTCACTAAAATTACTGTAATCTTCTTCACAAGGCGGGAACTGCGGCTCGGCGTATTTACAGCTCACCACGAAGGACTCCATGATTGATTTATAGCGAGGATAACAGGAGAATACTAATTTTTCTTTCTATCTCCTCTCTCTGTCTCTTTTCCCCCTCTGGCATCGAGCCATCCTGCGGCTGTCAAATAGACAGACGGCCGCGCGGGTCACGTGGCCCGTCAGCCAACCAATCAGAGGCCGCACACTGGGACGTTTATGTCAAACGTAATGGGATAATTTAGGAGGGAAAAAAATTCATCACGGTCTTAATGAAGATTTGCAGCTTGGAAAAATTACCGCTATTAGAAGTTTGTGGACACAGGAAATGTAAATAAACAACAACAAAAAAATCTATCTATCTATCTATCTATCTATCTATCTATCTATCTATCTATCTATCTATCTATCTATCTGTCTGTCTGTCTGTCTGTCTGTCTGTCTGTCTGTCTGTCTGTCTGTCTGTCTGTCTGTCTGTCTGTCTGTCTGTCTGTCTGT